AAAATATTTCTTCTTCGATTACCACATAAATCCTCAACATATTTAAAAAAAAAAGAAAACTTTGTTGCAAACAGTGGCGGCTTGTGATGAAAATATTGGAGGTTCACAATGACAGAATATAGGTTTCAGTACAGATTTAGGTAAAAAACTTTCAGTGTTTATAATATACCTTTCTAAAACACTAAAAGTTTTTGTATGTACTCAAATCTATATTGTGTCATTGTGAATCCCCAATATTTTACCACAAGCCGCCATTGAAAACAACATGTGCGTTTATAAAAATTACCTTGAGAGCAAACCGGACCTCTCGAAAATCAAAAATGTTTTACAGTCTAAGATCCGAAATAAGGTCGACCTTCGCCCATCTGTTAACCGGATGAAAGTTTTTTTTTATTAAATAAAATATGTTTTTAAATATACCGCAAATGGGTTGCCTGAGAAAATTCGGTCCAGACTATTTATTTTCTTAAAGTAAAAAAAACGACACCCTGTAAAGTATTCCCCAAATGCTTTGACTGTGCCCAAAATTTAATCAGCTCATCGCAGGATAGATTAAAGCTTAAGTTCAAAATTTGGTGTTTTTCTCTTCATCCGTTTTTGAGTTATCTTCAAAATTCGAAATTTGCACTTTTCATCAAATATCTCAAATTAGGTCCATTTTAGGAAAATCATGTATAGAGACAAAATAATAGAGAATGACATCATAAACAACTTTTATAATGATTCCTATACTTTCCTTATCTGTACACAGAGAGGAAAGTAAAAAAATGGACGTGGCCGTATTTTCTTAGGCAACCCATTTGCGGTATATTTAAAAACATATTTTATTTAATAAAAAAAAACTTTCATCCGGTAAACAGATGGGTGGAGGTCGACCTTACTTACGGATCCTGTACTATTAAGAATTTTCTAATATAAAATTGTATTTATATGCACTCTACTGGAATACTTCGTGATACTATTGAAAGCTTTAAATTTGTGCAATTCGACAGAGGCAACTATACAGAGACAACTCTACAGAGGCGTTTAAGAAAAAAAGGTGGGGAATACTCCCATTTAAAGACTACTAGATATTTATTAAAATAAAAAGCAACAAATTTTCATAGATTTAAAAGAGAATGGCGCCTAAATGTTTTTTATTCCTTTTTTAAAAATAAATACTTTTCGAAGGTTTACAAAATATTCAAGGTTTCTACACCCTAAGTTTTGTTGTTGTTGGTATTTCCTGAAAATTTCACAAAAATCGGACTAAAAAAAATGCTCAGAAGACATTATAAATTTTCAAGGTGTTCGGTTTGCTCTTAATAACTCTTCTGTTTTTGAAGCGCAATGTATATTCGAAATATTAATGTTCTTATTCTTTTCTTTCTTTTTCCTAAGTTTATCTTTTTAATATTTATTTAACTTATGACCTCTTTATCTTTGATTTTTCTATGTATATTTTAGTCCTGCTGATCGACCTATAGGGCCGAAACTTTTTACCGAATCTTTTTAATATTATTAAACAGCACGAACCATTTATTTTGTATTTAATTTATTTTGTACGACAAATAGGAGATACAGAGAGTTGAAATAAAAAAAATTATTATTATTGGGTTTAACTTTTTTTCTATTATTTTACTAAATTTAGTGTTAAGTGGTAAAGGAGACCTAACTGCATAGGACATGTACAAGGAACTCGTTACTGCGCAATTATTAATTTTGACTATATTAGAATATTTTTTCACTTTTTCAATTGCAAATATTTCGAAACTAACCAATTCGTATATATGTTACGGACAAAGATGATATTTCGGACTTTAACGATATTGGCCGGTCATTGTCGTAAATCTCCTATTTGATTGATCATTATTGACAATAACCGGCCAATAACGTAAACATCTGTTTAAATTGGACAATGTTGATAAACTATAAATGCCCGGGCGTTATCGTTAGCGCCCACTTATGTGTGGGCCGTAAATCGCACCGATTTGGATTTGAATAAAATAAAGCAAAAATTTACAAGATCTGAATTCAATCCATGTTTGGAAAAGCTTATAATATTATTGGAAAACCTTAGTGACGCCGTTAAAGGAAAATAAATCTCACTTAGAGAAGCTGCAATACGAAACACTGTTTTTGGAAAACAAGGATATAAGCGTTGTCACTGTAAGGGTGGGTGCAAAAACAATAAATGCGCTTGTCGCGCCAAGAAAAAAAATTGTAATTCCAAATGTCATGGATCATTATGCTACAATAAAACTCATTAATAGTTATATATATAATTATAATGTTTTCATGTTAATTTTACAGTAGCTTACTGGTAAAGCCTTGAAAATAAAAATTTTAAGTGACAGTACCAAATTAATTCTTTAAAATCAACTTCACCCACTTATTGATAGTCAGTGTCATTAATGGCCGGACAAAGATGCAAAAAATAATATATTTTCAACATTGTCCACTCATTGATGGTCGATATCGTTAATGGCCGGACAAAGATGCAAAAAAAAAACAAAATATTATCAATATTGTCCACGATTAATATGGGCATTTTCGTTACTGTCCAGGTAATAACGATATTGGCCAGCAAATATGACTGCTGAAGTTAGTGTCTAGTCAATACCGTCAATGCCCAATTTACAACACTGCCCGTAGCATATACATAATTTACGAACAAAATAAAAAATTCAAAATTACAATCAAAATGAATTTCTTGGACAGTAGTGCGAGTGACAAAAGTGTTCCTTAACCATGTTCCAGGCACTGGAAAAAGTTAATTAACTGTTTTTTCTACAGTTATGAATCCCTTAGGTCAGTCAGTTTTAAACCTTTATTATCAATTATTTAACTAAATTTTTATATTTTAATACAGGGAATTTACAATAAGTTGGGGGCCAGTTTTACCACTAGACGCACTAGGCCAGCAGAGCTTCAATCTGGTAACAGCAAGAAAAAAAGTAATAGTGTAACTGAACCACTGAACACGGCCGTTGTTTTTGACCGTGATAATGATTGAATCAGCATATCTATTATAATAGATAATCAGGAGGGCGTTCAGATGATTTTACACGAGAATAGACTAATTTTCTTAGATCGATTGCCCAGGTTACTCTAGAGTAATTCTCATTGGCCCAAAATTTCTGAACGGCAGCGAAAGTAAACGTCAACGAATTTACAAATTAAAGCTTTTTACAGTTATTTGTTTACATACATTTTATAATGCTCGATGTTCCTCGTTTTCCGTTGATACTCGTGTCTCGTGTGGTTTTACTTTTTACTCATTTATTTTTATTAGCTGTTTTTTCTTTTTATTTCAGTATGTACCTATTCACAGCCCTATTTACAATCGAGTTTATAATGAATGATCTATAAAGTCAAGAAGACAAGAAATTTTAGAATATTTATTTTAAAACAAACTGAACTTTATAGAATTTCATGTACAAACCATGTACAAACACACAAAAATAATATGAAATAATAACTTCTACAAAAGAATTCTACGTTCTGTCAAATTTACCGAAATCAACCTAGTCTAAACTGGGTAAAAAAGAGTGCATTATAGACAAATTTGACTCAACTTTCTAAACGAGAGTAGCTAAATGTTCAAATTGACCGTTTGACTGTTTTGATCGGAGCGTGTTTCCTGAAGACGCTCCAGGCGTAAAGGTAAGTTGTAGAAGAGTTTAGTATTTTCTAGATCAGCGGTACTCAAAGTGTGCTCCGCGGAGCCCTGGGGCTCCGCAAAGCCATTGTGGGGGCTCCGCAAAGCCTTTGTGGGGGCTCCGCGAAGAAAATAACAAAAACAAGCCGCAGCTATCGCTATAACGGGGCTCGGGTTTTTTTAGAGGGAGTATACAATTTGGGTATTTGAGGATTTTGGGTTGGACTTTTTTTCTTTTTTAGAAGCCAGGTGAGTATATGATTTTGAGAATTTTGTTTGTAGGGGCTCCGCAAAGAAACGGATGGGACCTGACAAGAGGCTAGAGCAAGAAGGACTTTTTTCCGAGAAATGTGTTTAGGGCTCCGTCAAATATTTCACTTTTCAAAAAGGTTCCGTCACCAAAAAAGTTTGCGAACCACTGCTCTAGATTAATACCTAACATTCCTAACAAACTAACTATGTGGTACATAACATAGCATAAATAAAATACGTACCTATTTGCTTTGCTTACAGAATGTCAGAATAGAAGTAGAATCTAATATAAAATTATCACAAGATGCGGTAACGGTAATAATTGCCCTATTGGTGAATAGTTCCTACTAGTATTGGTTTTCAGTTTAATAATGAAAAAATAAATATCGTGCGTTTGCGACAGGAATCATTTTTTTTTTGACAGATTACGGTGTTAATTTGCATAACGCAGATGTTTTGCTTTTTAATAATTTTATTAGAGTCAAATAAAATGTATTAAAAAAATAAAATCAGAATCTTTTTTTATTTTTTCCCTTCTCTGTGACTGAAATTTGATTTAAAATATATCACGAAACACCCTAAAAACTAAAATAGATGCCTAATAAAGGGCCTCAAAATTGCCTGGCGCCTAGGGACTCATATTAGGTAAAACCGGCCCTGAGTTAGGTAAAAGAAGTTGTAAAAAAGTATGCATTTTATTTAATTTTAAAAATAAATCTAGTCAGAATATATTCCATACAAAGCCATACTTCAAAGTATACCTAAAAGTAAACATTTTGCCACAAAGACTTTTTGCATTAATATTAATAACAGTTATTTTTATGAATGAGATTTTCTGGATAATCAAACGAAAAATAACCATATTTTTAATAAAAATTTAATGAAAATAATTGTTGGACATTATGCAAATTAAATAAGTTTTATAAAATTAGTTAAGTTGTTACAAACAACCCTTTTAATGTTGAAATTTAAGTAAATTTGAATTAGGTACATCATTTTTGAGTTGCTATTTGCGAATATGTTTTATACGATTATAAATGAAACTCAAAAATTTGTATCTAAATATCATAATATTCTTACATTATTTAGAAGTATTTTCTGTACATACCTTTCTTCGACCGTTAAATTTGCTAATTCTGGAATCTTGCACCAATAATGCTCAGGAACGATGGTAATGAAAATCTGAGTAAAATAAACCCATGCCACGAAAAATGCGAACGGGATCATAAGCAAAAACAAAATTTTTTGGTACAATCCAAATTCGCCAATGTGCGGTAACAGGTCATCGAATTCAAAGGGTTCTCCTTTATCAACACCTGCGGTATTTTCTGTAAATGCATCGTTGGTATTCGGCAAAACGCCTTTTTTCAAAAAATCTAAAGAGTTTTCTTTCGTTGGGTCGGCATTACCCCGCGTTTTTTCACCACTCATTTTATTTTTTTCCGTATCCGTATCACTGACATAACCCCCGTTGCTATATGCACAACTATCGCGATTATTTTCGGTCTGTTTTATTTCTTGATTTGGAGACATTTTTGTAAGATTAGGCTAACCGGAGGCCAATCCTAATCTAGGATGGATTTCAGAACCGATTGACTGAAACCGCGGTCAGTGATTTCAGTGTTTTTATACACAAGTATTGTTTAAGGTCAAGACGATGGGGCTAGACGACGATATAGTGAACGGTGATGGGGAGCCATATCAAGGAGCGTGGAGAGAGGATGAGGAATTCCCCTCTAGAGTCACCTAGCGCTGCATTGTGCTTTGCAGAACGTGAGATAATAATTGTTATCAATTATTATCAAACTGCACGGCATAGACGGTGAATGCACAGTGGGCCAGAAGACACTCAAATCTGTCCAAAAAAACCTAGAAATTAAAATAAATTAATCTTTTTTTTGGGTTAGCGTTGGCATCGAGATAACTCCATTAGCCACAGAATAGTTAATACTAATTGATATTCTTCAAACTGTGGTAGTTTACTAAAGATAGAAGAGGTAATGTTCTGTAGTGTTTAAAATTAGTTTATATTTGAATCTTGTTAAAACTATTTTACATGATGGAATTATACTTTCATAAAATATTGGCCTCATTATACTTTTATTTTTGACGTGAAATTCGTAGAGAGTAATAAAAGCGATCTTCTATTTTTATATAGCTAATGTTATATTTTATATTACTGTATTTCTCATTCGTTTTATCATTCTCCGAGATTCCCTATTCTACTACGTCAAGTTAATCCTGCCCACCTTTGCGGCCTTCTCGTTTGGTGACTTAATACTTAACGAAAAAGAATTAACAACACTGGATCAACCTGCTGCGGCGCACAAATATTCAGAATTGTAATTTAATAGTAAAAAAAATTTCTACAATTCAAACTTCTCCACCCGTTTGAACGTTTGTGGTTTTGAAATACACATCAATAAATTTAAAAGAAATTTATCGGGTGACTTTTTGAATTTTTATTATTTTTGTTACAATTTAATGCATTAATAACTGAAAAAAGCCAACTTTTCAAATGTACCTTTTCCAACCTGCAAAGAACTTTTTTCTATTTTCAGCTTTATTGGAAATCAATGAAACCATGTGTATAAAAATGAAATGCATGGTACCTTATTGCAAAGGTTCACTAGAAGCTTAAACGGTGAACAATTGTACAAAAGTAGTTAAAATAGCTATTTGTGTATTAAGAGCAAAAAGTGACACTTTGCCGCTTGAGACAGAAAGTTGTCGATAGCGGCAAAAAACTTTTCGCTCAAAATTCACACAATATTTTTTCTACGATCACATTTTTTGGGCAGTAAAGTAATTTTTTTATAATAACCTGCTCACAAAAGGCAAAGAAGAGAAAATAATAGTTATTTATTAATAAACGATCATTAAAACGGTCGTACATAAAATTTTATATATTTGTTAATAAATTATTATTAAAAAGGTCGTGCATAAAATTTTATATGTATTTCGGGCGTAAACGGCGTTTATGGACCTTACGTCCCATACAACACACATATTATTTCAGAAGTGTTTCATAAATATTTCAATTGTTTCAAACATTTCAAGCACAAGTTTGTGAAATATATCTGAAATATTTTAGTTAAATATTTCACTGAAAATGTTTCTGAAACATAGTATACATGTTAGTCAAAAGGTTACTAAATGGGTTATGTTGTAAAAGGCCAACACTTAATGAAGAATTTCTTATTTGTAAGAAGATGAGATATGTGATTATATCATTTTAGTTTCCTTACTTGTGATTTCATCCCTATGTCCATTCTAAATAATTATAGATTTGAGTTGTCGGTTTTTGCCAGTACCCTTTTTGGTGACATATCACTTTAGTGTCACAAAATTACAGATTTGACATATGTTTTAAATAAAACTACAGATAGGTATTTCTTGATTTTTAGAAAAAAAATTGCGGATTATAGTCAAAATTCAAAAATATGGCCTTTCCAAGTTGGAACTATTTTTTATTGCGGATGGTTGAATACTATACCTCCATGATAAAAGCGTAGTAATTTCGATTCGCGCATGCTCTCTTGTGCGTTTGTCGAGAATTTGATTTTATTTATCGCAATTTTATTTGTGTTTTTATATTTTACATAGGTTTTAAGTGTTTTATTGATTATTTATTAAAGACTATTTATGAGCATATTGCATTTTAAATCAATAAATATTTCTAAATTTTATGTTGTGTTTACTGCAACAATCAATAGATAAGGCAACTTAGGTTTGTTTGGTAGAAGTAGCGATATTAAGCTGAGAAGCAAGAACGTATATTCTTTGATCTGTGTCAGTTGGCCGTGAAGCGAATTATTTTAAAAATTATGTTTTCATTACAGGCGACATTCAATTAATTTTTTACGTGCTGTTTTTCTATTTTTTTTTGCGAAAATTTACTATAGAAACTAGTTATTTTTGGGTGTTGACAAATTTTTGCAAAACTCGTACCTGAACTCTGCGAACAATTCACTCATGTTCCAAAAAATAAAAAAATTGAGGTTAGAAAAAAAATGGTTATATTTGGAAAAAATCCGCACTTTTTTGTAAAGAATTAGTCTCTACCACATTCAAACTGGTTCTATTTTTTTTCTAAATGGCTTATTTTTTGTGACACTAAAGTGTTATGGACCCCCTTTTTTTTTGTTATTTATGCGTTGTGCTGTTGTTATATAGGAAGCAGAATGTCTTTAGAAATTAAAGTGAGTAGGTACTATATGTATACAGAAATAATGCTTGTTTAGGTTAGGTTTATTTACATTATCTGTTCTCTGAGAGGAGTTTATTTAAATATAACCTACATTTGCTGTTCCTCCGCCAGTTTTATTTATTAGTTCTACAGCTGATTGAAAAGCAGAGTCAAATAAGTAGAGAGGGTAGAACAATAAGGCACCGTCTGCACATCCATCAAGAGTGTAGAAATTATGCATGATTCAACCTTCTACTATTACACACGTAAATGACAAGGAGGGGTTGCCCTAAAGCACTGTAAACAAATTCCAGGATTGGCTTTGTTCAGCAATTATGTTTTTTGGCGTCAATTCTTTGTTATCTTGCTTATATTTGTGATTTTTTGTGCTTTGATTTCGATTTAGTATTAAATTATACTTGTTAACTATTTTCGGATGCACAATTTTATAATTGTTGCACAAAATGTTGTGAAACCGTCCCTGATCTTGTTTACAAAATGTGTTAAACGAAATTGTGCATTGTGTCTATATTTTTCATTGGCAGTTATCATTCTACCCCCTCGACTTCATTGAGCTCATGTTTTGTTTAGGCATGAGTATTGTTTGTTTTATTATAGTTAATTTAAAACAATATTAATAAAAATAATGTTAATCAAATAATTTGTATAAATCCTTTTTAAAATTACCTATAATTTGTTTCAGATAAGTGCATTTAAAGGAATGGGTGGAATTGAAGTAATTCGCCAGCTTATTCAACGTTTCCAGAATAAAGTATTAGGGAACAACGTTGATGCACCTTGGTACTGCCGCAATACTGATCTTCATAGAGACTAGAGACCTTAAAGTGGAGTCTGTTGAAAATACAATAATTTGCCAGTAGTCACCAACAACGACTACTCCAACATGGAAATCTTGAGATTATCCACCTCCTCAACATGCCAATCTAAAAAGAAGACTCAAGAGAACCAAGCCTTTCCAGTTCAGTCACAGTTTAAATTCTTTAAACTGTGGTTCAATGATGTTAGATTAAAGCAGAGTATAGAGCGGTTAAGTGTTATACGTTAACGGTAGTGTTACTATTGTGTATTACTATTTAATATTTCTAAAAGATTTCAAATTTTTTATTTCAGAAATATTACTGTGAAATATTATATTTACAGGACATTTTTACGTTTCAGGAACATTTCAGAAATGTTTCTGGGATGTTTCGTAATATTTATACATTACAAATATTTCAATGTAACATTTTTGAAATATTTCTGAAATGTGTTTGTGCTGTATGGGGTGATAATAGCCCTCGCCTAGCGGCTCAGGCGCTTACTTACACGTCGCGGTCCATAAACTCCTGTTTTACGCCCTTGAAACATAAATAACTATTATTGTAATCAGATGTAGCTTGGAAATATTTTTATTCATGCTGTAATGTAATATAAATATATGACAATTTATTAAAATAGGATAAATTATATGTTTATACAAAAATATTTTACTTTTCCACAACATATTGAATAAAAAGAGATTTACCTACTTGTTTATTTATTATTAAAGAAAATGATATATTAAAAAAAAAACGTCAATTTTTTTCTCAGTATTTTTTATCCAAAATAGGTACTAAATTCTTTTTTCTTTCTTGTATATTCTTCTTGTGTAATGTCCTTTCTTTTTTCTCAAAATCTTCCTTCAATTCTCTAATTTCACAATTTATTCTCTATATGTAGGTACTTTATTTTGTAGATATTTTATTTCAGTTTTGAAACTAAATAATTGTTTCTTAGATTGTTTCGTCAATAATCCATTTTCTACGTGTCCATTTTATTTACAGAGATATTACCATTCGTTGATAAAATATAATATTCACGATGCCAAGATTAATTAGACAAACGATACACTCTATTTGTAGGGACGGGGCGAGATGAGGCGACGAAAGGTGAGAAGTAAGAGAAGGGATAAAGAGAAGAATTTTACGCAGATACAACTTATTTTTATCAATGAATAAATGTGTAAGCCGCCGGGCGCTTATAATAAACAGCGTAAATATCCATGCCGGTGTAAGCCCTGTTGCCACTTCCAACCTAACATGACTAGGTTTTGGAATTTATTGAAAATGATTACATCTAATTTAGTGAAATTACATCTTATTTACTTAAAATTAACATAACTATAATGATTCAAAATTTTTTGGGTTCAGTTACAATAAAATAGGTTGAATTATTTTAGCTTTTTTAATATATGTAAATAATTTTGTAAACAAAACGAGAATAATGAAATAGGCATATGACAAGAGCTGATATTATATAGCCGCCTGTGTCCCTTAGAATATCTTATTCAGGATCGCACGATATTTGTTAGTAGTTACATCTCCTCGTTATCTCTGATTTTATTCAACCTCCAATTCCTTGTTTTTCTTGACAATGCCCTTTTCTATTTTTTGAATGATGGCTTGACCCCTTAACCGATTATTTTATACATATTTATCTACTTATTTGCCCTTTTTTGCTCTTCCTCTTCTTACCCTATTTTAAAATTATTCACCTTTTTAT